TTGTTGTCCCAATCATGCATATCCTTGGAAAGGTCCATTTCCTCTGCTGTCCAGAACGAGGCCTCAGCCTTCTTGTACATCTTCCATATCTATTCGACTCGTGAGCTAAAAGCAGAGCCAAGTATTTGAAAACTCTTACCTCATGGTATTGGATGGGGAAGAGAACGAAGCGTCTCTTCGACTCGATGAGAAGGGGCTCCATGTCTGAAACGCGTGACACGTCACGCTGGGTTCAAGTCGCGTCGAATATAATAACTCACGTTCAGGGAGGTCGACTTCGCCAACCCATCGTTTCCTGAGTTCCTCAATATCACCCTCATCCTTAGTAGGCTTGGGCTTGAGGGCTTCGAAGTTGGGAGCAGGAATCTTCTCAACAATCTTCACGCGCTTGTTGGGGCTGTTGAGCGAGAGCTCCTCAAGGGCCACCGCCGCCTAGTTATACGCGTTCAGGGACGCGTATTGAATGAATTAGAGACTGTGCTTACCCTCTTACTAGGAGAGGTGTGCGAGACTTTGGTGGACGTGACGAAGGTAGGTTCGGGAGAGAGAGCGCGAGGAGGAGTGCGAAGGCCAGACATGGTTAACAAGGATACAAAGAGTACAAGCTGGAGTGGTACAAGCTACAGCGTCTGGGCAGGGGGAGGGGCAGGTTCGTGGTGGTGTGTGGTAGAGGAAGCCCGTCCAACTCGAGCGTCTTTTATATTCTTCAAAATTTACGCGTTGTTTGGCGGATTCAACGAGTAAACGCGTCGCGTCGCGTCAACCCCGTGCTTTACGCGTTGACGCGATCGCGTCACAAGCCCATCACACACTAACCGTCACCCCGTCACGCTAATCTCCGTATTAGCGCCCATAAACCTCAAGTGCAACGGCCTCAAGTCTCGCAGGCCCACAAATACGAGAACATGGACGGGGACGAAGACTGGAATGCATTTCTGAACAACCATCCGGTGTTCACTACTGATAAAGGCGGGCGTGGCTTATTGGCCAAGGACGACACCTCCCTGGAATTGTCCTTGTCTTCGCTGCGCAACTTCACGACAGATGACCTTACCACCGAAGGCCCAACCCCTTCAGGGCGCCGACAAGTTATGGTCATCAAAGACTATGACCTGATACTTGCGGTCGGAAATGAGATTAGGATGGCTTCCTTGGCGGACGCCAAGTTACACCGTGGAGGTAATGGTCAAGAGCAAAAGACCTACAAAGTGTGTGTGTCCGCATTTGTGTCGGGTTGCAGTCCAGATTAAGGATTTCGCATTCCAAACGGCCTCTTTCAATAGATCTTAAACACTCCCAATGTCGCATTTGATATCCATCAAATGGTGGTGAATCCCAATGGCAAGTTCCTGGCTGTGGCGGGAGCGTTCCATATTGCGGTTGTGGTATTGCCACGTCCAGGGTTCACAAAGCTAGTCACAACTGTAGTTGACTGCAAGTGAGCTGTTTACGCTTCTTTGTCATTGCGCTCCCTTCCTGAATAACCAATAGGTCAATATCGATAGGACAATACTATCATGCTCTGAAGGAAGCACCAATAGCAAAGATTGCATGGCATCCATGGGGTGCTGGTGGCACCACTTTGTTGGTCATGACGGTCGACGGAAAACTCCGGTATGTCTTTCTTACACTTCAGCGTTCTGTATTCTAAGTCATTGCAGGGAATATGATATTGCCGTCGATGTAGAAGAGCCTCAACAAACACTGTCGTTCGTCCCTGAGAAGAAATCACAGTCCTATCTTGCCGAAGACGATTCGGAACGAGAAGTTGCGTCGTTTACGCTTGGTACGGGTAAAGCGGACTGGGGACCGTTGAGCATCTACGCTGTCATGAAGAGCGGTGACATATATGCCATATGCCCCTATATGCCGAGAAATACGTAAGTCTCTGCCATTATCAGGAGAAATCTAATCCCTCATTTATCTCTGCCTCGCTAGGGTTCTCTCGTCATCGTATGTGCATGCACTCGAATGCTTTGTAGCTGCAAAGCAAGAGTTTTTGACGCGATCGGAGTCTGGCCCGTCGGATTTCGATGCATCTTCAAGCAGTGCTAGCCTCACTACGGTATACGACTACCAACGTAAATATGTAAACTCTCTACTCAAACAGCTCCCTCCTGGGACAACGTTTCCCAGTCCACCCCGGATGGTACTCGTGCACCCACCGACAACTATACGCAACCAACCTATTCGTCAAGGTCCATTCCTGCTTCAGCCTTCACCGCGCACGCTAGAAGGAAGTGAAGGTGGCGATGCAACTGATATCGTCTATCTCTCTTTTGGTACTGATGCCGAGGACAAGGGTGAGGGTGAGGGAGAAACAGAGCGACTGGGTGTTGTCCTGGTAGCTTTCCAGGATGGCAAGGTAGACCTTTACCTCGACGTAGAGAAGGTAGAAGCCAGGTGGGAGCGCAAAGTGAGTCGTTGCGATTTTTATCGGTGCAGGCGTGAGATATTGAATATACATTAGCACAGCACCAGCAATACAGAGCTTCCAATGCTGGCAGTCTATGAGTCCATCGACCTAGGCCTTATCTCGACTTTGTCACAGCTTTCTGCCCGGCCTGGAGAACCACCTATCCTTCAGTTATTGCAGGGCAACCATCCGGTCCTTTCTCGAGACCCTATCAATGACGAGACGGTCTATGTCTACCACGCTTTTGGTGTGCATGTTATACAGCTCGCCTCTTTATTGCAGAAGCTAGCCCATGCGCTTCGTGATGATATCAGCAATGACGGCGACGATTCTCTTGCGAGCTCGTTGGAAAAATCTGGAGGCGCAACTGTGAAACCAATATTGACCACTTTCTCTGTTGAACGGCGGTATGTACCTGTTATTGTCAGTTTGTCGTGTTACTAACGCTTCTCTCGTTTAGGTGCTCGAATCCTGTGACGGCAGTCTCAATCCCCAACGATGTTTACTTGACATACAGCATCTTCATCCTCACGTCTGCTATGCGAGTCATAACCTTCCCACTGACTCTACAATCCGAAGCGCAAAGCACTGATGGGGATGAATCAATCGTCTCTACCAATGAGGAATTACCAGATGCCAAACCTGTGGATGGTCCCCCGGCATATATCACCCTCCTTTCCGAGCCCTATACACCCCCATCAAACCTTGCCACTGGCGCGGGTCTCCCATCCAACCCAAGGCTGGCTGTCCCCGTGCGGAGCGAGATTCAGCTCACCCCGGACACTCTACGTTATCTAGCCTCAACTGTGGAACGCCTCACGAACCAGATGCATGAGGTACAATTAGCTTACCAGAGCGCTGAAATGCGCGCGCGGTTGCAGGAACAGGAATTCCATCGACAGCAAGAGAAAAGCAAAGAGGTGCTTACCCTCATCGAAATGCTGAAGCAGAAACGTCAGGACCAGACAAGAGATAAACTTGCGGAGGTTCAAGGGAAACAGAAAGAGTTACTCCAAAGAACAGATCGTATTCTTCGTGCTCTCATGAAGAGCGCGAGTCCTGAGCTCAGTGAGCATGAGACGAAGTGGTTCGGGGAGCTAAAGAGGTTACAGAAGGAGATTAAGGGTGCCACACGGTACGACCAAGACTCGCTGTCTGGCAGGACATCACAGGTGAAGCCTATCCATGTGTTACGGCTAACTCGGAGACTGATGCCATTGAATACAGCTCCGTCGAGAACTCGACCGTCTTCTACCTGATCTCAAGGAGCTACGAAAGAAGGAGCAGCGACTGTCCAAGCGAATGTCAGAGGTGGTTGGCTCAAGTGGCCTCGGTGTGTCTCAGGCATTCGAGTTTGGAGCACGGGCGAGTAAAGAGTACGCAACACATCTATATGTAAGAGCTATTCGCTGACCGAGCGCATAATTTCCCAGGAGATCAAAGATCAGTAATATTGAGAACGATATCCTCAAATTGGCAGCCAAGCTTGATCTAACTTTGGGTCGGCCACCTTCAGCCTCGGAGGAGCCAGAGGAAGCCAAACCGTGATCCAGCTCTTGTGTTGTTTGAATGTTATCGCTGCTCTTGACGGTTTCTATAAGTGTTCTATTCATACATCATTGTACATTACTCCCCACTTGATCCATACTTTCGTACATTCGAGTTCAGTCCGAGCACGTAGAAGACATGCATCTCTACGAACGATATTGTAGCAGCACAGTAGAACCTCCTGCACCGCTCCTGATGTGAAAGCTCCCTGGGTATGCTGTCTGTGACTTTGCAAACCAAGGTACTGTAAGGGTAGCTACCGGCCCTGAGGACAGTTACTTGTCAATTTGTGATTCCAGATACTGTCGGACCAGGGCTACTATCTCCTGTCTAACCGCAGGCGACACGGCACCTACAAACACAAACGCTTCAGCATGTGCGCACACATAAGATAGCTTGTAAAAACAACTCCACCTTCGGCATGACTTCGTACGTCTGCCATGAGCTGACGGGCTGTTGCTGAGTCTCCCCGCTCAGCCGACCTAGCTGATTCTGAAGGCGAGCCTGTGTCAGCCTCACAATCAGGATTCAGTGGAGACTTGCTGAACAAACCTTTGGTCCTGTGGTGCAAATCATCGACCCAACCAGCTTCGTTCAGCCGTTTGGCTAACATGGTAGAAATCCTGGATAACAATTCTGCATGAGTACATATGATCGGTAAACTAGTATCCTACCTATCCCATTCACCGCTCTCAACCATGCGGCGGTGAATCTGCGCGTACAACGCGGAGTTGGTGGTGTCACTGCGGGACGGCATAGCTCCAGACGTTTTCGAATCTATATATGCGTAGGCCTAGTGTCCGACCAACATCTGGCGATGTCAGTGATTGTTTGGTTCCAACTTCCAACTGCCGAATTAAGACCTACTTAGTACAGTGATGGTGCTATGTAAGGGTGGTAGGCTACACAGCCATGTTATACCAAAACACTCATTGAAGAACATAAATCACCCAGCCTTGCCGAATATATACATCGCAATAAAATGCAAAAAGCTTCATGCGTTAGAGGCGTGCATAGAAGAAATATGTAAAAGGTGAGGGACGGGCGTGGGTCGAACACGCGACCTCGGGATACCCTGTTGCTGTTGCAATTGCAGTCCTACGCTCTACCACTGAGCTACCGCCCCGTTGAAAACGATGACACGCATAGCAATACAGCACCAAACACGCTGAATGGCCACAACTGTCTAATCGCGTTCATTGTTACATGCTCACTGCGATCGCGTTTATCCTCCCACTTCATCCTCTTCTGACCTGTTTCACATAGGATTACGCGATGAATCTCTTTGGAAATACGAACACCAACACGTCAGGCAGTGGCGGCCTGTTTGGAAATACTGCAGGGACGGCGGCCGCCCCCAATCCAACAACAGGACGTACGCGTGTTTCGCTCAAGTATTGACTAACTCATTAACCATAAGCATTAGCCCAGCAGACTGCAGATAATCCATTTAGCTCGACACAACAAGCAGGGGCACCCAAAAACTTATTCAGTGGCTTTGGGAACCCGTCCTCAACAACAACAGCTGCTCCGACGGGAAATATTTTTGGGTCCGCAGCACCTGCAGCTAATGCATCAAGTACCCCGTCTCTCGGTGGAGCCTTCTTTGCGAAGAATAATGCAACAGATACTTCTACCACCTCGACCGCTACCGGAGGGGGTCTGTTTGGCGGTGGTGGCGGTGGAATCGGAGCTGGACCCGCAGGAGGAGGGCTCTTTGGGGCAAACCCAGCACCGGCCGCAGCTGGAGGGCTATTCTCTACAGCAAATACAGGATTAGGTGGTGGATTAGGTGGTGGCCTAGGTGGTGGATTAGGTGGTGGCCTAGGTGGTGGATTAGGTGGTGGCCTAGGTGGTGGATTAGGTGGTGGATTAGGTGGTGGACTACTCGGAAACACTTCTGCCGCGAGCAATACCTCTGCAACACCCGCCGCAAATGCTCCCACAGCACCTAGTTTGTTCAGTGGGTTCGGTCTTCCCAAACCTCCAGGGACGGATCAAGCAAAACCCGCTACTTCTGGTCGTGAGTATAGCCTCTACGACTACATATTAAGGATCTTATTTAGCCAGCCATGTAGTCTTCTCAATACCTACTGCCGTCGCAACAACCTCATCAACAACCTCAACAACCCCCGCACCTGCCCCAGCTGTAGGGGCTGGCCTTTTCGGTCTGCCGCCCAAACCATCGGAGGCAGTCACTGCTGCTGCAGCAGCCAATGCGCCTGCCGCGCCTGCTACAGGCAGCGGATTCTTGGGCGGTGGATTATTCGGGACTAAACCCGATGCAGCTGCTCCCACGACCGGTGCATCCACAACACCGGCAGCTGGTGCGTCAGGTAAGCACTAAAACTAGGAAAGCGGAATATTCTCTTGACATCAGTGGAATAGGACCCTCGAGTTTCTTTAGCTTGACCGGGAACAAAGACACCACGGCGAACAAGCCAGAAGAGAAGAAGGATGCTGCACCTGCTGCTCGTATGTATGCCAACCCGTGTTTTTTGACCGTCTTGACGAGATTCGCCCATAGCCTCGCTCAACCTCGGTCTGTTTGGGAGCACCGCTGCTACAGGCAAAGATGCAGACAAGCCGAAAGAAGGCGCAGCATCGCTTACCGTTCCATGTGTGTGCAATTCTTCCAAGGTTACAGTTTATTGGTGCTTATGATACTCCACAGCGCAACCATCTACGACACAACCTGGATCGACCTCGGTGGCGGTTTCAGTCCCACCGCCGTCCATGTTGAGGGGAAAGACCATTGAGGAAATCGTCAACAAATGGACGACCGATTTGGACTTGCAAGTACGGGATTTCAACAAGTTCGCGAGTGAGGTTGCTGTATGGGACCGCGCATTGATAGAGAATAGCAATAACGTATGTCCCAGTGGTCTATGTTGATGAATCGAAACTGACATAACTCTTTAGCTGTCTGCTCTCTACGCCGCGTTGTTATCGGCTGAGCGAGAACAGAGCGCAATCGACCAGTCGCTAGATCACATAGAACAACAACAAAAGGACTTGTCCTCCACGCTTGAGGCCTACGAGAAGCTGACCGACGAAATTCTTGGAGGCCAAGGCGGTGGAGGCAACTTGAGAGCCCTGGATACTGGTCCCGCAGACACAGAGAGGGACAAGAAGTGAGTCACCTCATATGGATATTCTCCTTACAGTTGAGCTGATTATGATACGTTCTTCAGTTACACGCTCGCCACAGAACTGCACGGGCATCTAGATGACCTATCGGGTTCGCTTACACAAATGATCGAGGCTGTGAACGAGCTTTCTGGCTCCCCTGACGGTGCCACTGCGCTGAGCGAAGATCCGATGGCGCAAATCGCACAGGTCCTGAGTAACCATCTTGAGAGCTTGCAGTGGATAGATGGAGCAGTGCGGGAAGTGGAGTCGAAAGTTACAGAAGTTGAACGACGTGTGAAGGGCGCAGCGGGCGAGGAGACACAAGGCGGAGGAGGCTATGGGAATGGGCTCGGCGCAAGCAGGAGCAGAGGCTTTGGACTTGGGAGGTGATTCATACACATTCGAGTTCTCGTACATTTTACATCCTCTTTGTGCATAAGTAGCGAGCCAGCTGTATATCATGTTAATTATCGGTGGATGGCAAGGTCTTGTCATCGCAGCTTACTGCCGATTCGTGACGATCGGACGAACGCTCTATCATATCTGTTCGAATAAACAAATCCACTAATCTCACATGACTGCACTGTTGGCACGACCCCAAGGACCCCTGCTTTGCGCCCATCGCTGCGTTTGATGCGGATCCGCGACCATCAAATCCCATACGGATGGGTAAGTGCACTTCGCCACTGGCGTAACATCCTCGGGCCGTGCTTTAAGCTTTCAAGTAGCATCCAAGTATTTGAGTTTCGAGCATCTTGGTCGTGTGAAGGGCGCGGTCGGCACGGACGGTGTGGCGCGAATGAGATGTCAAATTAGATGATAGTGGATAGTTACAAGCTCATCCATGTGTTCCTGCTCATTCAATGATAACTGGCTGACGATGTGTATAAGGAATCTAGTGTATTGATTGCGATACTACGACGAATAGGCTACATGAAGTCGTTAAAATCCAGCGCCGTGAAATAAACATGACAAACTCGCAAGGAGTTTCTAAGCACGTTAGCGGTGACGAGAGAATGTCCACGGAGAGTGCAATGGATGGGTGTGAAATAAAGTGATACGTAAATGGTCGTCCTAAGATTTGAGTAATGCTCGTTTGTCGAAATAATGGGACAATGCCCGTCCGTCCATTCGACCCGCGTTTTGTTCATCATCGGGCACAAGCCCATAGATGGACGATGACGCCCCGCGGCCAATTCCATGTCCAAGAGATATTTTCCGGATGAAACAGAATCAAGATCGGCTGAGCGTGCTGCGCTGACGGATCTCCTCGCCCTTGAACCACAACCACACAGGGAAGGGTATGCCAAGGACTACTGCAAGGCCGGCAAGTAGAGAGTTGCCGCCTCCATTACCAAGGGCTGCGTACATCTGTTCACCGAAGAGGGGAAATGCGAATCCTAGTGTAGAACGGAAGACCTAAGACATGACAAAGAGCGATGAGTTGCGTTGCCAGGAGACCAGGGAGGAGCGATGAGTACGCACAGATGCAGCTGCTAGAGCGCTGGCGGCGTAGGTGAAAGTGTCAACGAGGTAAAGCTGAATAGGTAAGCTGCGAAACAGACGGGCTCAGCTGCGCAACCGGCATTTTATTCATCTGTAGACTTACAAGGTAGTCATCATCCCAAATCCAAAAATGCCGGATCCAATGATGGGCATGATCCAGTGAATTCTAGCCTGTGCCGACCAGCCATACCAACTGATAGTATTGTCAACGATTGCCCATACCAGGACAGTCATGTATGTCGCTTACAATAGTCCGATGGGAACGAAGAATGACCCGAAGATGAGGGCAGGAATCCGGAATTCTGGTTTTCCCTTGCCGCCGTTCCTCGCTGATAGCTACACGGACGGTCAGTAATCAGATATGAAGGGTTGGAAAGAGACATACAGAGTGATAGATCTTGTCAGAAACGCTAGCTCCAAACACGGTGGCGAGAAGGAACCCAAGACCCAACCCGATATAACAGAGACCAGCGATACCCGCGGAGAAGCCGTAGATATCGGTGAAGAGGACTGCAACACGATTTGTGAGAAAATGACCGTAGAGACGACCATCGTGACCTACTTGGGAAGGTCGTGAACATTAGATAGTAAATACCATACATGCTACAGAGGTCACCGTGAGCAACAAGCCACAAGCAGCACGATATCCCATGCAATGCACTCACAAAGCCATGTACAAGCTCAGGACGAAGCACACTAAGCTCTTGGTGAGCAAGATAACTGGTCTCTCGAGATTGATCCAAATGAGATGCCATTTTCCGCCATGGTTCTGTACGAGATGAGGGTGAGCCTTTGCAGCCTTCTCTGGGTCTTCTGAGTGCTTGGCTATACGAAGCCGAATGACGGGGGCATAAGTCTCGCGCAGGAGAGGTATACCGAGGATGGCAGATAGGCCACAGAGCGCAGAGATGACGATGAACACGTATTTGTAACCGATGGTCTCAGAGATGAAGCCTCCCGCTATGGGGCCTACGGCAGGACCGATAAGTGGGCCCAGACTGTATATCGCCATAGCAGATGCACGGTCACGTTCTGAAAACAGGTCGCTGATGGTTCCGCCACCGCATGCAATAGGTGCGCTTCCGACGAAGCCACCTACATCATGTTAGCCGACTAAACAAAGTGTGTATCAAATGTGCACATACAGATCAGACGCATGCCTATGAGCACACTTGTGTTCGGCGCGAACGCACAAGCGAGATTGAAAACCAAGAACAACAAATTCCCAATATGCAGAACCTGTATCGGAACTTTCAGTATCGTGAAAGTGATATGTTGTTGAACAACTGCAACTCACCCATGTTCGACCGTAGATTTCAGACAACGGCGCAAGAAACAGAGGGCCGATGGCGAACGTCAGTAGGAAAATGCTCAATGTCATGGATACAATGGTTTCGCTGGTGATGTTGAAATGTTCCGCAATTTCTGGCAGAGCAGGAGCCATCATAGAACTGGCCAAAGGCGATACGAATGTGTACAATGAGACCT